CTATATTATTATCATTCTTTAGTAAATAATTTTTTTTTTAAGAAAATATTTTTAGCTCTCCGATCAAACGCCTAAATACATTTTCTTAAAAATGAAGTCCGTTGTACCAAAACACACCCCTAATCCTTATAGTAACCGTTTATGAATTTTAATTTCTCAATCGGTATTTGGTTCCTTTTACTATCTCTCCCAGCTTTCTGTATTAGCATTGTAGCTTCTAATTAATTTCTTTTTAAAAAATTATTTGTCCTAATCAAATGTTTCTTCCTTCTCTTTTCTTCATACATTAACATTTTGATATATCTATACGTAAACTAAGCTCGCAAAATCTAAATTGTTCTCTATATATTAATGAAAATTTGCAGGTAATGGCATATGAATTGGGAGAACATAACATCAGAGTCAATGCAATAGCTCCAGGAATTTTTAAATCAGAGATTACTGAGAAATTATTGCAAAAAGATTGGCTAAAAAATGTAGCAACAAGAAGTGTTCCATTGAAAACTTTTGGAACTACAAATCCTGGTTTAACTTCACTTGTGAGATACTTGGTCCATGACTCTTCCAATTATGTATCTGGCAACATATTTATTGTTGATTCTGGTTATACTCTTCCGGGTATCCCCATCTTTTCTTCTCTATAAGTTATAGTCAGAATTTGAAATTTATGGGTTCTGAATTTGTAACCAAACTCAACACGTCTTAGTTATTGAGTTTGCAAATAAATATTTATATATTTTTAAAGAATTTCTTAATATAAATACAGAGTGCTACTGAATTTGTTTGAACATGTAAGCAATACTCTATGGCACTACCTCCGCCCCTGGTTATAACATTTGAAAGAAGAACAAGAACAGTATATTATTGGTCATCAAGTGTGATGACCCAAAATGTCATCTTTAAATTAAATAATTATCTCGGTATTTTAAGACCTTGAAAAGCGCTATCAATAATTCTTCAACTTGCGTGTGCAGTCCGTATAATTTTCCGGAAGGTTTTTATGTGAAAAATGGATTAAATTGTGAATTAGAGCTTTAAGACTCAACTGAGTTGACTTCGGTCAACATTTTGAGCAAACGAACCCGGATCCAAGTTTTAACCATTCCGGCAGTTCCGTATCGTAATTTGGGACTTGGTCATATGTCCGAAATCGAATTCGGAGGTCCCTAGATCAAATTATCGTCATTTAACGGAATCTAGAAATCTAAGGCTAAAGATTTCTTAAGTTTGACAGGAGATTTGACTTTTGAGCAAACGACTCCATAATGGAATTTTGATGATTTCAATAGTTTCGTATGGTGATTTTGGACTTAGGAGCATGTTCGGATTTGGATTTGGAAGTCCATAGGACAATTCGGCGCATTTTGGCCAAAGTTGGAAAATAGAAGATTTTTGGATAAGTTTGTCCAAGAGTTGACTTTTTGATATCGGGGTCGGAATCTGATTCTGAAAATAGGAACAACTCCATTATGTCATTTATGACTTGTGTGCAAAATTTGAAGTCATTTCGGATTGATTTGATATGTTTCGGCGCAAAAATATAGAAGTTGGAAGATTTGAAAACTCATAATTCAATTCGATGCGCGATTCATACTTTTGGTGTTGTTTGGCGTGGTTTGAAGCCTCAATTAAGTTAGTATTATATTTTGCGAAATGTTGGTATTTTCGGACAAGATCCCGAGTGGCTCGGATGGGGTTCGGATAGTTTGGCGCCTTGTTGAAGCTGCTGAAATTTCTGCAGAAGCAGTCTTTGGCAGCAACTACTGCAATCGCAGAGCCTACTTCGTAAGCTTATATCTCGAAATCTATAAGGTATCTGTACATTTGCGAAACATAAAAGTTGTAGCTCGTGCATCCTAGTTTCCAAAAAGCTAAACCATTAATCATTTAGATTTGTGTACAGAAAGTTATGATCGATTGAATAAAGGCTGATAATGTTGTATTGAAATTTTTCAAGAACTTTCTGATGCAAGGAGGCTACTTTGGAAGCTTATATCTCGAAAGCTATAGGGAATCTGAATATTTTCAAAACATGAAAGTTGTAGCTCTTGCATTTTAGTTTTCAGAACATTAAACCGTTCATTATTTAGACATTTGTATAGAAGGTTATGATCAGCTGAATAAGGGCTGGTAAAGCTGTTTCTAGTAGACTTTTAGTGAAGAAAATGGCTTTTAGTGACGGATGGGCAGAAACATTTAACCACAAAAATCAGTCACTTTGCCATTTCGTTTTGGAATTTTTGAAGCTCGGTTCTTGGGCGATTTTGGGCGATTTTCACGTGAAAACATTAGGGTAAGTGTTCCTTATCCTATATTGATTATATTTCATGATTCCATATACATTTACATCATGAGTCCATGAGTTTATAGAAGAAAAATCAGATTTTTAGCCAAATCTTCCAAAAACGAAAATTTAAGATTTGAAAGCCAATCCGATGTTGGATTTTGGTAAAATTTGTATGTTGGACTCGTGGTTGGATGGGGGTTCATATTCCATGACTTTTGTCGTATTCCGAGACGTGGGCCCCACAGGCGATTTTTGGGTTAATTTCGAATTTTGTTGGAAAATTTGTATTTTCATATGGAATTAATTCCTATAATATGTATTGCATGAATCGAGTTAATTATGACTAGATTCGGGACGTTTGGATGCCGATTTGAGCAACAAAGGCATTTCGGAGTAGGATGTTTGCTCGGATTAAGGTAAGTAACAGTTATAAATCTGGTCCTGAGGGTATGAAACCCCGAACATTGTGTCGTATGACTATTTTGGAGATGACGTACATGCTAGGTGATACGCGTATGGGCGTGCAGCGTAGGAATTGTGACTTGGTCCTTCCGCGAGATTGTGGAATCAATTGGCCTACTGTTTAATACTTGTTCTCTCTATTTTCATAGAAATTAATTGTACTTCATGTTAGAAATCATGTTTAGGCCTTATGTGATCATTGTTGAGACCTGAGAGGTCGTGTACTTGCTGAATTAGCTGCTAAATTACTGTTTGTACTCAGTCATAACTTTTCTTGCCTATTATGCCTTTGTCTCTTACTGTTTATTGTTGATACATGATATTACTTCTGTTTGGGCTGTTTATATAATTTCTGAGAGTCCAAGAGACTGGAGAGATTGATGACTGAGTAAGGCCGAGGGCCTAGTTGTGAGATATTGATACTATAGCACGTGAGTTGTCCGTGCCGTACGTGAGTTGCCCGTGCGGATCCAGATATTGATACTATAGCACGTGAGTTGTCCGTGCGGATCTAGATATTGATATTATAGCACGTGAGTTGCCCGTGCAGCACGTGAGTTGTCCGTGCGGATCCAGATATTAATACTATAGCACATGAGTTGTCCGTGCAGCACGTGAGTTGTCCGTGCGGATCCAGATATTAATACTATAGCACATGAGTTGTCCGTGCAGCACGTGAGTTGTCCGTGCGGATCCAGATATTAATACTATAGCACATGAGTTGTCCGTGCAGCACGTGAGTTGTCCATGCAGATCTAGATATTATATTATAGCACGTGAGTTGTCCATGCAGTACGTGAGTTGTCCGTGCAGATTATAGCGTTTGGGGTGAAGGAGCCCCTCCAGGAGTCTGCACACCCCAGTGAGCGCAGGTATATGATAGCACGTGAGTTGTCCGTGCAGCACGTGAGTTATCCGTGCAGTTTATAGCACTTGGGCTGAAGGAGCCCCTCCGGAGTCTGTACACCCCCCAGTGAGCACAGGTACCTATTGAGTATGATTATTGAGGGCTGAGAGCCGAGTGATTGAGCTGTTGAGATGAGCTGAGTGATTGTTGCCTTGAGAGGCCATATTTGTTTTCAGTTAATTGCTACACTTAGTTGCTATTTGTCCTTGTCGTACATATTTCTGGAATATTTGATATCTGGTTTATTTGAGTACGCACTGATGAGACTTAAAATGTTAAATTGAAAGTATGACTACTCTTATTTGAAAGTTATTGAGATAATTGTATTTGCATTGCTCGTCACTACTTCTCAGTTCTTTATTTATTTATGTTACTTATTGAGTTGGCATACTCGCGTTACCCCATGTACCTCGTGTACAGATCCAGACACTTCTGGTCACGGCGGTTGCTGATTGAGGAGTCAAACTCAGGAGACTATTGAGGTAGCTGCATGGCGTTCGTTGACCTTGACTCTCCTTTCCTTTCATGTTGTATTGTTCTATATTTTCAGACAGTGTTTTTATCAGTCGGATGTTGTTATCATTTAGATACTCATGCACTCAGTGACACCGAATTTTGGGGATGGATTGTATAGTAATTTTGGAGTTATATTCTATTTTTTTAAAATAATTTCTTTAATATTAACTGCTTCCGCCTTTATTTAAAAGTTCTACTTTGTTGAGATGTCGAGTTGAGGCCTGCCTAGTTCCACGATAGGCGCGATCACGACAGGTGAGATTTTGGGTCGTGACATCAAGGTATTAATATCATTGTATGTAGTTATCTATTTCAAATAAATTATTATGAACTATTTCCTTCCATTTTTTGACTTTTATTTTCATTGATCATTAGGAAATGTGACACATGTATAACATGAATTTCTTAATAATACAAATAGTTATCTATTTCAAAGTAAGTTTGAATACTGAAAAAAGATAAAATTCATAAGTTACCCCCTAAATTATAGACCAAATTCATGTTACACATTTTTTGCCGAAAATTAACCTACACACTCAATCATTCTAAAGTGTAGCTGAAACACACCACTTTTGACAGCTGGCGAGCCCGTGTTTTACACAAAAAATAGGTGAGTGAATTTAAATTTTTGGGTCTGAACCATTATCTAAATGCCTCATTTTCAGCCTTTTTATTTTTTATTTTTTTGAGTTATTTCTTGGTTTTTCTATTTTTAACTATATCACCAAATAGTTTGGTCCCTATTCCACACAATAATCAGTCGAATTCTAATAGAGAATAATTGTAGAAATAGCTTAAATATAGATACAATAACATTGAAAAAAACTCCAAATATGAATCCACCATCAATAGAGAAGAAGCCAATATACAATAAAATAGAAATACCGCTACAACAGTGGCAATCGCCAGAGCTGTGGTGGTAAGGCAACTGGGAAACAAATGGATGACAACAAAACTATGGGTCACCAGAGTCTTTAATTTTCCGGTCAATCTTTCAGATTAAACAAAAAGGTGAAAAGAAGAGATATGATGCACGAATGAACTGCTAGAAAAAATAAATGCAACTTATGTGCTTGAGGAGGTAGAGTACCAAGACCGTTAGAGTTAATTGAGGTCTATTTAAATAGAAAGATTCTCTTGTTAGACTTTAGTCCACTTAGGTTTATGTTTTATGTTTATATCATAATCGTATTGAGTTTGTAATTTGTGTACGATTGAGATTTTTGGTCCTCGATAGTACTGATAGCATAGAAGGGTACGAGCATTATCTCTTAGTAGCGGTCCTGGGGAATATTCCTATATATATATATATATATATATATATATATATCTTGTAATTCCTGCATTTTGCAGATTCTCATCTATGAAAATATCACTAACTTGAACCCTAGAATAGTTTTTCAAACTTTTCTTTCACCTCTATTTACTGTTCCATTGATCTTGTATCATTTAGTATTAGAGCACTTTCTTGAGCTCTATGGGTGATAAAAATGGCAGATATGGACGAGATCAAGTCACTGTTTGAGAGAATGACTATTGAAATCACAAACTTCTCAATTAGGCAAACACAACTCAAAAATCATCATGAAAGAGCTTTTACTAAGCTAAAGAAGTCCTTGCATGTTGTGAAAAGGTATGATCGAGGAAAAAGAATAGAAGAAGTAGATGGTGGGGCAGATCTATATACCTACAAGTAACCCTACTGCTTGGGTACATGGTAATCATAGTGATTTTGCTACTTCTTAGTTTTCTTCCTGCTGGCTACCACGTAGGATTGGGGCTTGTGCCTCAATTTCAGGGTCTAAGGGTGTTGCTTCTCCTCATAGGCAGGCTCCTGCAGACCCTGTTTAAGGGTATTCAACAGCTGGAATCCATGATGGTGGCCTTGCTCAAGGCAATCATCAGTTGGTCATAATGAGGGTGGTGAGTTTGCTCCAGCAGCTCAAAACTCTGCAGCTACTTCTCCCAAGGGAACAAATATAACTTGCATGACCAAGTTAGAGTTGTAATGATCTGGTCGGTCGTTTTGAGAGTATTAGCCTCAATCCCTATTTACTATTTTTCCGTATCTTTTTCTGCTTATGTGACTTGCCGGGAAGTTTTGTTTTTGATTTCAGAGTGATTTGGGACGCTTAGTCCCTAAAACGGAAGCTTAAGTTCTAGGATTTTGACCGTAGTTAGAACTGTATGAAGATGACTTCGGAATAGAGTTTCATCAATTCCGTTAGCTCCGTTGGGTGATTTTGGACTTAGGAGCGTGTCCAGATTGTATTTTGGAGGTCTGTAGCTTAATTAGGCTTGAAATGGTGAAAGTTAAATTTTTGGGAAGTTTGACTGGAAGTGGACTTTTTGATATCGTGGTTGGATTCCGATTTCGAAAAATGGACTAGGTCCATAATATCTAATATGACTTGTGTGTAAAATTTAGAGTCAATCGGACGTGATTTGATAGGTTTCGGCATCGGTTGTAGAAGTTTGCAGTTTCATGTTCATTTAGTTTGAATTGGAGTGTGATTCGTGTTTTTGTTATTGTTTGATGTGATTTGAGAGCTCAACTAAGTTTGTATGATGTTTTAGGACTTATTGGTATATTTGGTTGAGGTCTCGGAGGCCTCAGGTGAGTTTCGGATGGTTAACGGATCAATTTGGACTTAGTGTTGCAGCTGAAGTTCCAGAAATATCTGGTGTTGGTTTCCTTCTACGCATTTGCGAAGGTTCTCCCGCGTTCGTGTAGAGGAAATGTGAGTGTTAATGAAATTGGCCTTCGTGTTCGCGAAGGATGTTCCGCGTTCGCGAGGCACTATGGTTTTAGGCTTATGCGTTCGCGATTGGGCCCTTGCGAAAGTTGAATTATTGGGTAGTTTGACCAAAAATGAACTTTTTGATATCGGGGTCGGATTCCGATTTTGAAAGTTAGACTAGGTCTGTAATGTCGAATATGACTTGTGTGCAAAATTTGGGGTCAATCGGACGTGATTTGATAGGTTTCGACATCGGTTGTAGAAGTTTACAGTTTCAAGTTCATTTAGTTTGAATTGGAGTGTGATTCGGATTTTTGTTGTTGTTTGATGTAATTTGAGGGGTCGACTAAGTTCGTATGGTGTTTTAAGACTTGTTGGTATATTTGGTTGAGGTCCCGGGGGCTCGGGTGAGTTTCGGATTGTTAACAGATTAATTTGGACTTAGTGTTGGAGCTGAAGTTCCAGGAATATCTGGTGTTGGTTTCCTTCTATGCGTTTGCGAAGGTTCTCCCGTGTTCGCGTAGAGGAAGTGTGATTGTTACTGAAATTGGCCTTCGCGTTCGCGAAGAATGTTCCGAGTTTGCGAGGCACTATGGTTTAGGCCTACGCGTCCATGATTGGGCCCTTGCGTTTGTGTACAGGAAGGGGCAGATAGGTCATTAGGCATTTGGCCTACGCAAATGCATAGTGGTGAACGCATTCGCGAAGCAGCAGGCAGTGGAAGCTCGCATTCGTGGAGGTTACTCGCATTTGCCAAGGAGGGATTTTTGGTTAGTGATATTTGTTCAACTCAAACGCGTTAATGTGGCCACGTTCGCGAAGAAGGAAATGCCTGGGCAGACTATAACATTTCAAAAACGAGGGTTTAGCCATTTTTATCAAAACTTGAGATAGAGAGCTTGGATTTGGACAAAATTTTGAGGGATTTTCAGAGGCATCGATTGGGTAATGATTCTTCACTTGTTTTTGGTTATATTCCACTAATCTATTATTAATTCCATCCTATAATTTGGGATTTAAGTTGGGTGAATGGGTGTTCGTATTTTGTGACTTTTATCCAATTCCAGGTCGACTTTTTGGGGTGATTTTCTAATTTCTTGTTAAAGTTTTGATTTTATTAATTAGATTAGTTTCTTATAGTTATAATTATGGTATGTAATTGCTTTTGGAAAGATTTAAGCCACTCAGAGTCAGAAAATCGTTGAAAAGGCATTCTTACCGATTGATTGAGCTTGGTTCGAGGTAAGTGGCTTACCTAACCTTGTGTGGGGGAAATACCCTTAGGACTTGATACTGTTGTGATACTTTTTGATATGTGAGCGTCGTGTACGTGAGGTGACGAGTGCGTACATGGGCTAATTGTTGAAAAATCTAATTTTTACTGAGTAGTAACATGTTACATCTTAATTGAGTTATACCAGCATATGTCGTTAGTCTGTTTTAGCATAATATCGCATGTCTACGTGTCTTAAATGCTTATTTGAAATCTGTGATGCATGCTTGTTGATTTCTTATTTTTCCTTGATCCGCATCCGTCTTAACTGTAGAATCCTTGTTGCTAATTGATATATTCATCGGTTTCGAGATGTGTGCTTGCTTTTGGGACTACGAGGCGGTACCTCGGGAGATCGCCCTGCACATTTACTTTTGGGACTACAAGGTGGTACCTCGGGAGATCTCCTTGCATATTTACTTATGGGACTACGAGACAGTATCTTGGGAGATCCCCTGCTATTTACCCTTATGTGTTGTGCTACTATTTTTCTATGGTTTTTCTCTTGAAAATTTTCCAGTCTCTTATTGCATTGCTGTATTATTCTGCCTTATTTATTATATACCAGTAGGACCCTGACCTGACCTCGTCACTGCTTGACCGAGGTTAGGCTTGACACTTATTAGGTACCATTGTGGTGTACTCACGCTACTCTTCTGCACATGTTTTGTGTGTAGATCCAGGTACTTCTTATAAGCCTCAATATCAGTGAGCACTGAGATTTTGGAGACTTCAAGGTATATCTACTCGCGTCCGCAGACCTTGGAGTCCCCCTCTATTCACTCATATGTCGTTTACCTCTCCGTACTTTCTTAGACTCTGGTGTATAGAGATACTTAGTTTTTCTTCTATAGCTTGTGACTTATGATTACAAGGTTTTGGGAATATTGTGTGTTCTCGACTGCTAGGTTACTTGTACATGTTGAGCGGCATTTAATCATTTTATAGTTATCTCTTGCAGCCTAGTTGTTAAATTCTATTTTTTCATTTATGTTATTCCGCAATTTGTAAGGCTTACCTAGTCATAGAGACTGGTGCCATCATGATGTCTTATAAAAGAAGATTTGAGTCGTGACAAGTTGGTATCAGAGCTCTAGGTTCATAGGTGTTATGAGTCACAAGTAGGTTTAGTAGAGTCTCGCGGATCAGTACGGAGATGTCTGTACTTATCTTCGAGAGGCTATGGAACTGTTAGGAAAATTACACTTCTTTGATCCCTTGTCGTGCGAAATTGTTGACTTCGAAATTCTAAACTTCTATTTTATATTCTCTCACAGATGGTGATAACACGTACAGGCGGATCTGATAAACTGGCACTCGCACACCCTACTAGAGCCGCGAGAGGCCGGGGCTAGGGTACAAGCCGAGGACGTCCATGCAGTGCAGCTAGAGCACCCCCACGAGGTGCTACAGAGGTGACCCTAGTTGCTCCAGCTGAAGGGTAGGCACCTGAGGCACCTATTGCTGCACCAACCTTCCAGGAGACTCTAGCCCAGTTTCTGAGCATGTTCAGCACCTTGGCTCAGGCTGGATTCATTCCACTTGCTCTTGCCCCATCTCAGGTCGGGGGAGGAGTACAGAGTCCCGCCTCTCGTACCCCAGAGCAGCGGGTTCAGGTCGACTAGGTTCTAGAGATCATACCGTTGCAGTCGATAGCTCCAGTTCAGCCCGAGGTTAAGGCAACAGTTTTAGAGGAGGAGCAGCTCAGGCTTGAGAGGTACAAGAAGTACTACCCTCCTACTTTCAGTGGCTTGGCGCCAGAGGATGCCTAGGATTTTCTTGAGGAGTGTCACCGTATCCTCCGTATTATTAGTGTAGCGAAGTCGATTGGGGTTTCTTTCACTACGTTCCAGCTTAGAGGAGCAGCCTATCAGTGGTGGCATGCTTATGAGTTGGGTAGTCCGACTGAGGCAGTTTCACTTACTTGTACTCAGTTCTCGCATATGTTCTTGAGGGAGTATGTTCCCCAGAGTCTTAGAGATGTATGGCGCATAGAGTTTGAGCAGTTGTGCTATGGTGCTATGATTGTGTCAGAGTATGCGGTTTGATTCAATGATTTGGCTAGGCATGCACCAGTCTTGGTTGCTACAGTTTGAGAGAAGGTCCGTCGATTTATCGAGGGGCTCCACCCCAGTATCATGCTTAACATGGCCCGGGAGTTGGAGATGGATATTTCATACCAGCAGGTTATGGGTATTGCTAGGAGAGTGGAGGGTATGCTTTCTTAGGAGAGAGAGGAGAGGGGGCTAAGAGGTCTCGAGAGTCTGGCACTTAAAGTGGTACTCTGCCCCAGCTGCAGTTCATCATGGTAAGGGCTATGTGAGTCGCCTTGTCCATTCAGCACTTTCAGCCGCCAGTGGTATTCCGGCTACTCCTAGGCCCCAGGAGCCTTATTATGCACCACTAGTGTCTAGTGCACCTCCTGCATGGGGTGCTTTCAGCGGTCAATCCAGCCGACCTATCCCGAGCCAACCACAGCAGCCACGCCCTCCGAGAGCTTGTTTTGAGTGTGGCAACACTCGCCATATGGTAAGGGATTGCCCTAGACTTAGGAGGGGTGCACCTCCACAGATTCCTCAGGCATCGCGTGCCCCACTAGGTCCTCATGGTATGATTACAGCCCGAACAACCACTCCACCTACTCAGCCAGCTCGAGGTGGAGGTCGGGCAGGTAGAGGTCGCCCTAGAGGGGAGGCCATACCA